GGGGGGGGGGGGGGCCGCCGGGCCCCCCCGGGTGGTTGCCCCCCCGGGGGGGGGGGGGGGGGGGGGGGGGGGGGGGGGGGGGGGGGGGGGGGGGGGGGGGGGGGGGTTGGGGGGGTTTTTGTTTTTTTTTGGGGGAAAAAAAAAAAAAAAAAAAAGGGGGGGGAGGGGGGGGGGGGGGGGGGGGGGGGGGGGGGGGGGGGGGGGGGGAAAGGAAAAAAAAAAAGAAAAAGGAGGGGGGGGGGGGGGGGGGGGGGGGGAAAAAAAAAAAAGAAAAAAGGGGGGAAAAAAAATTTAAGGGAAAGGGGAAGAAAATTAAAAAAAAAAAGGAAAAGAAGGGGAAAGGGAAAGAAAAAAAAAAAGAAGGGGGGGGGGGAGGGGTTGAAAAAAAAAAGGAAGGGGGGGGGGGGGGGGGGGGGGGGGTGGTGGGTGGATAGAGAGGGAAAAGGGAAGAAATTTTTTAATTTTTTGGGGTGTTTGGCAAAGGGGGGAGGAAAGGGGGGGGGGGGGGGGGGGGGGGGGGGGGGGGGGGGGGGGGGAGGGGGGGAGAAAAATTACAAGGGGGGGGGTTAAACCCCAACCCAAACATTTTAGCGAAATAAATGTCGCTATACAAACTCGGGGTCATTCGCCGCGGCCGCTCAAATGTCAACAACTTCCCACAAAGCAATATAATATACATGGTTATGAATAATTTTATAGTAAATACATACTATATATGTCTCATTATTTTGAGAAGTAAAGTCAGTAAGCGCATTCTGTACATAATACAAGCATAAGATTCATGCTAAAAATATTGATAGCCTGCTATAGTCTCGATATTGGAGCCAGACATTTCTGAATTATTTGTAAGATCGTTTTTAAGGCCAATAGGAGAAACAATTATTGTTTCGACGGACTCCGGAAACACGTTACACGGCGGCCTTTATTTGAATACTTACTATTTTCCGTTTTCCCCCAACCTGCTACTTCCATATCCCAACCTTCATAGGAATTACCTCGGAGTTCTTGTGTGGTCGGTAAACAAATAGGTTTCACAAAATCTGAAAAAAATATAGGCTTAAATAGGTTTTGACTAGTAAACAATTGACACATTAGAAACTAGAGGTCTTCGAACCTACAACAAATCTTTGCTTTTGACTTTTGGGGAATAGTAGGACCTATAGTATGTATACCTACTTGATTGTTGTGTTGTAGTTTATTGTTTTAGGTCTACAGGTTGTTTGTGGTAGACTATATTTGAAATGTCTATGACTATAGTTGAAAAGCCTAAATATTAAATTTTTAATGAAAAACAAACAATCCAAGAAAAATATTTTATTAAAGCACATACAAAATCTTTTTTTATATTTTTTTTTTATAGAACAGGGGGCAAACGGGCAGGAGGCTCACCTGATGTTAAGTGATACCGCCGCCCATGGACACTCAATGCCAGAGGGCTCGCGAGTGCGTTGCCGGCCTTTTAAGAATTGGTACGCTCTTTTCTTGAGGACCCCAAGTCGAATTGGTTCGGAAATACCTCAGTGGGCAGCTGGTTCCACAAAGTGGTGGTGCGCGGCAAAAACTGCCTTGAAAAACGCTCAGTTGTGGAACGGCGGACGTCGAGGTGATACGGATGGTAAGTATTTTATAATATATACACAAATATAATATTCTCACAACACAATTTTCAGAGATCCCAATCCATATCTATTCTAGGTTTTATACTTACTATATTTAGCTCAGATAGTAAGTAAACTCATATTTTTTTGTAGTACAGCTTTATTTATGGACTCATCAATGTTATGGGGTAACGGTAAACAATATGTTGCAAAAAGCTGTTTTTAGCTTAAAACTCTTGTCAAAACTTACCATTAAATTTCACCTCTCTTTGCAACCGGATAAGAGCTATATCATTTTGTTGATTCCCATCTCTTGGCTTATAATCTTCGTGAGGGATGAGCTTCTCGATCGGTACATCCATGACAGGGAGGCTGCAGTCATTACTTCGACAATCCACATCGCTCGTTAAATTCCATTCACCAAGACGCACTTGACTCCTACAATTATAATAATTAGTTAATAGAATTGTTATACTTACTTAAATATAAATCAGTCTAGTTGCAACAATTTTAAGCACGCAACGAAGCATATGTCACTTTTCATTACATCGTAAATACAATTCGACAGAAAGAGACGAAATAATTAGATAGCTTCTGCAAACAAAAATCTTAAATAGTTTCGTTTGTATTAACAAAATTCATGTTTTAAAACCATAATTTTCTATAAGCTTTTATCAACAAAATCTATTTTTCAAACCTGAAAGTAATTTTAATTACTTTATACGAATTCGTTTTGAATGATTAGTTTTATATAGGTATATGAAATTAATGCATCTGCAATACACATTAACGCATTTATAATAAACTGTGAGCATAGTTTTACACGTTAATACAGTCACGTATTAAAGTCAGAGAAACCAGAAACGAGGAAGATGTACGTCTATCAATTTTTAATTGACGGTTGGCGCCTGGCGGCCTCATAGCCTAGCGGTCTTATTAAGTGGCAGCTAGGTGAGGGGTACCGGGTTCGATTCCCGGTTCGAGGGCAAGTTTTAATTTAATTTAAATTTGTTCTCGGCCTTTGGGAGGGTTGTGCGGTACCGGGCGAGTGCCTAAACGAGTGAATTTCTAAAAGACAAGCACGAATTATAAAAAATCCTATACTTGACGCTGGCTAATGCACAAATCGTGCCAGAGCGATAAAAAAAAATTGACGGTACGTACTCGAACCTAAATAAAATATTTTATAAATTTAGTAGCTGACCCGGCGAATTTCGTACAAATGTTAATTAATGTCGATTAGTTTAACTTCGTTTATGATTTAAAAAAGTAATAAATACAAAACAAATATTAAGTTGACTAATATCACCGAATTGCAATCCTCTACGTTACATTTATTGTATATTTAAATAGCTTGATATATTTTCCTTAAGTACAAAATAAGTAACATTACAATAAATACATTTAAAATCCATTATTATTGTGGATATATGTTGTCGATTCGAAACCTTCGTCTTGTTAGAGAGTTATTCTGTTTTGTTATAGTTATGAGTTGTAAGTGTTCGAACAATCCCGATTTTGTTTTATATATTAAGATAATATTATTTCTTTGATACGTATTGGAGACATATTAACTTTAGATATACGAATGTCGTATTGTGTGTGAGAAGAAATATATGTGAAGATTACTAATGACTGTAGATATGATGAACTCTTGTGGTCGGGACTTGTTTTAGTTGCCTGTAACCAGTATAAGACACAACCCGCTTTTGCCTCTTAACTTGATCTTAAATACAATTTTAATTTTTAATATGGTTACATACGAACTGGGGAGTCATTGAAACCCAGTGTGTCTAAAATCAAATTATCTAAAGATATAATAGCTTAGCCTTAACAAATGTAAGTACATGTACAATAATAGCCAGTTAAATTCAGCAGTGTCTCACAATTTTTAACTTCACATGAATGATGTCCAGCTGCCTGTAAAATAATCATTGATGGCAGATTCATCGGTGATTCTTCTAAATGTATTACAGTAAGAAAATTTAATAGAATTATATTTAAAAATCTTTTAAAAGAGTTACATTTAAAATATTTACGATAAAATGGCCGAGAATCAATAGCCAGATCAGAATCTGGATGCTAAAATTATTATTATTTCACTTACAGTTTCCAATTTGGTGGTATATCAGCTCCTTTGATACAATGTGCAGCGGTCAGAATGTAGCGCGATGATATTAAAACTCCTCCACAATAAAAACCGTGGCTCCCCTTTGCTATAAATAAAAAATTGGTCATTACATTTTTAATTCTTATATTCTTACAATACAACTGGGACGTTTCCTGCCCTGCGATTCTATAACTCACTTTTCGAACTCACACAGCGGTTTTCGCATCGGCGGTCGCTCACAAAACAGTCATGAAGCAGTCATTTTATGATTTGGCATTCTGATAAACAATAAACTACAAGCGCCCACCTTTTCGAAAACCGCTGTGTGAGTTCGAAAAGTGAGTTACAGAATCGCAAGGCTGTAAGCTGAAATGTGAAGATATTTCAAGACACATTGACAAGAAAAGAAGAGTTAAGTACGCGTATTTATAGTAATAAGTGACAGTGTTTTGTACTTTGACGCTCGTAAATGCAAGTTTTTCTGCTTAATTTGTGTATTTTTATTGAAATTAAGAAGGTTAGAGTCAATGACGAGGTCTCGGGATGTTTCAATCTGGATGTAACAATGATGAGTTATGCAGGGATGCATTGTAATCCCCAAATCTCTTCAATATATACCTACGGCGAATAACAAAATGAGAAAAACCTAAGAAGCGAACTTACATCGAACGAACCAGATAACTTGGACAAGCTGGTTGTCGTCAGCAAGAAAGGCAAAAGGCAGATTGCCAACCCGCTGGTGATGTGACCAATCACGATTCTCACGGGTCTCCCCATTTGATGATATTGATTTTAAAAAAATATTTATACAATATAAAACCATTTCTTAACAAAATTTATAACACATCTTTCCAAGGTCTAAATTTTCTGGACTTTTTCTCTGATATTTTGATCTTACTATTTTTTTCTGAATATTTTTAATATGGACTGGTTTTCCTATACAAAACGGTGTAATAACTCTTTAGTAATCTTCCTGCTTATTTGGTAACAGCAGTTCATCTCGAGTTGTGACGGACGTCAGACGCGGTGTCACGTAGCTAACAGGACCAACAGTTTTACTGGTGAAGAGGTGAAACACCGCCAACTTACAAACTCTGAGCTACCAATAAAATGGTCGAACCACAAATAAACCCCGCGACTGAGGTTCTGCCTGTCATATATAGATACATTATGGTACAATAAATTTTAAAGGACAAAACCTAAATAATAATCTCATCCGAATATAATGGAACAGGCAAATTATCCTTTAGATGCGGACTTTTCGCATACGTAATTAATCTTTACGATTAGATCAACAAAGGAAAACCGCGTGTTTATATTTTTATTACCTACAGTATTTCCTAAGTGTCGTAAGATCAAAATATGGCCTTCACGGCTCAGTTGGTCACGCAATAGTTAAAGATATATTAGTTTATTGTAACATTACATGGAGTTGATTGCGTGCAAAATTTAATTCCACAGTTTCCATGACAGACATACACCCAGGTTTATTGGAATCCTTCTTGCGAACCGCGAGGGCTTGTGGCGTGTGTAATGGGATGTTTTAGTGGGTTCGATACCCCTCTGACTTACAAAGAGCTATGAATGTGATCCACAGTCCTCGCAACAAGTGAGTCGGGTTCGTCGAAGGGTTTACTAAAAGGTCACTCCTCAACAATAAAAATATGTTTAAAGGTATTTATTCTATAAAATACAAATGGTGCCCTAGTATTCGTATATGTCAATAAATGGGAAAATATTCTACAAATAAGAAACGTGTTCGAAGACGTTTTATTATTTATAGGAATATATAAAGAGACTTCTTTTTGAATCCAATGTCACTGTTAACATGATTAGGCTTGGTAGTTCCGAATAAACACAGTGGATAGAATCCCAAAGGTACTTACGTTTGTCATATCGCAGTAATGCCATCCACGGATGTTCATCAATATCGGTCTTATCACCTCCATAGATCCTTTCGTCAGTTTGAATACCGCATACCGAAATGTTTGGCAGTAAGTTATCTCTACCGAAGTTTATAAATGTAGGGGGACAGCAAACCTAAAACAAGCGTGTTTTGTTTTTACAACAACAATCATAACCTTTGCAACGAATAATAATCACTTAAGTTTCAGATTAAATCGAAACGTAGTGCGAATAATGAACTCCCGTTTAAATCTGATAAGTTTCTGACTTACGGAAGTTACACTTAGCACTGAGTCTCAACTCTGAATCTGAGGGTCAGTCGCGCTAACCACAGTTGCTTAATTAGCCCTCAAAGCGTACATTATTTAAAAAAATCGTTTATGCAGTTTTATTAAATATTTGTATTCCTGTAAAGACAATATTTTACAACTAATACTCTTAGTTCATACAAATCATATCACTAATAAATAATACGATTTTTGTTAACACAAGTCACTCGTTTCGTTATCTTTGTATATCAAGTCAAGGACAATAATGTTATAAGGTAGTTATTTTAATAATACAATCTTAAACGTTTTTTAAAGTGTGAATTGTGTATTTTGATGAGTGTTGTAAGCAAGAGGCTTAATAGATGGTATAAAAAGAAAGGATTGGCTTTATGAAATGTACAAAAAAATTGAATAGTTCCAGGTCCATCAAAAAATTCTCGTTAGGGAAAATATTAAAAAGGAATATGATAGGATTCAGCGGCATTCGGAGCCGAAATCATTTTGGAAATATATAAGAGCGCGCAGATGTACATAATATTGTGTTCATTGTAATGTTGCAAAAGATACCTCTCACGCAACAAGAGTGTGGTCGGAATGGCTCTCAACAAACACAAAGTACGGCTACTGAACTTAATGTTGCCTTCTTAGATTTCGAAATAGCATTCGACACTGTTGTTAATAAGGTAAGCTTGCAGAAGTAAGATGTACACAAAAACTGTTGCGTATATAAAAAATCTTTACATCTTCTTAAGTGAGAAGATATGTAAGACTGCGAACACTGACGTTGTAAGCTTTACTCGAGCTTGGGTTCCTCTTAATTATACATACATTTGGAGAATAATGCCGAAATTTGGACCCCTAATAAAATAATGTATAAAATTATCTTGGAGGGTGAGAGGCACCTCTATTCTAGGATACGACTACGGAAAGGTGGGACATTTAATTATTAGTATATAATATATATTATGACGGATAGTTGTATGTACGTGGGTAACACTGAAAATGTTTAGAATTGGCCAGTTAGAAACATTGCTAATGAAAACTTTTTGAATTTCAATTTTAGAACTCTTTGGTAATCTAATGTAGTATATTGCATTCATTTGTCATTTGTTTTTGTGAATTGGCGGCAAATCTAAAACGCGTTACACGTGAAAATTAACCTAACGCGAGACAATTTTCGATCATTATGACTGTTGATGATTTATTATGACTTTCGTTGTGGGCTTACTCAACAACAAAGCTATGATAGGCTGCGATTAGTATTTCTTCATGAAGCCCCATCTCGTGCCACTATTTACAATTAGCTTAACGACTTTAAGCGTGGACGTAGAAATCTCCATGATGATCCCCGTGAAGGACGACCTTTAACAGCCACTACTGAAGATAACATCAGTGCTGTGTGACGCATAATAGAGGAAGATAAGAGAGTGACCTATCAGCAGATACGGGCAAGCCTAGGCATTGGTATGAGTCAAGTTCAAAAATTATTACACGAACATTTAGAAATCAGGAAGCTTTGTACCAGATGGATTCCCCATACTTTAACCGACGACCAGAAACACCTTCGCATGAACGGGTGTCGCCAAATGTTAGATAAGTCAATGGAGGTGACTCAAATGCTGTATTTGACATCGTCACATGTAATTTAAGCTGGATATATTGCTACGAACCCAAAACAAAAAAGAAAATTCGAGGTATTCGCTTTACGAGCCGTGATGATGCGGTGAAAGCGTACGAAAATGCCATAGAAGATGAGGAAGAATAGGCACACCTCTTTTCTCAGTGGTGCCATCGAATACGACGATGTGTAAACAATAAAAGTATTGCCAACTTTCTACATTAAGCCGTTTTTAATTTTGTAAACATTTTCAGTGTTACCTGCTCTACGTCATAGTATGTAACCTATTGGGGAGGAAGAATTTCCATAACATATGCTTCGACCGAATATGGTCCGATACGGATAGTTGTTTGTAGATTTAATACAATTTTAAACCAAGATATATCATATTATAATTAAAACAAACACAAAATAACCTTACGTGCGGTACATTGTTCTCAAAGCCGCAAGATGTTTTTCTTAAAACGTCCTGAATATTTGGGACTTTTATATGTTCATAAGCCAATTTGCATTCGTTTATGGGCAAACAGACTGCGTCACCATTGCAAGCTGCAAAAAATAATTTTTTTTTCAACTTACAGTAATTTAATTATATTATGGTAACAGTGTTTTAACTCTTAAACTCGTGTGAGGTCAAACTTAATACATCAAACTTTTTAGCACCCTACAAATTGTTCATCTTTAATTAGCTGGAATCAGTTACGTACGTACGGGGTTTATCTAAAGGGGTTTATGTACCCATCAAGGCAAAACACAACTGTTCATATTTTTGTCGTTTTTGTCGTCGTATGGAGTCGTTTAAAAACAACAATCTTGCTGGGCTGGCCTCAATATGTAGTTTTTCTACAGTTTTCGTATGCTAAATTTAGTTAACTATTATAAACTATTTTAAATCATCCTAAATAAGTATAAACTTTTAGGCCCGTATTTCGATTTCTTTAAGCTTTGTCAAATATGTGAAAAAAATGGTTTGACTATTAATTGAACTTTTCAAATTACTTAAGTACTGTAAATTGAGAAGTAAGAGACAATGCGTATAACTTCAACGTTCACTACAACACTTTGTAAACGCAAGAAGTTGGTATATAAGTAAACTATAATTATAAGCTTCAATGTTGTGTGGAGATGACATCATGTAATCACAATAAAAATGACTTATCAAAAGACGTTATTAATATTTTTTCCTTATTGACAGTTCTGTTGCGAGCTTCTTTTCGACGTTTCGTATCATTTCAAATACAACGCAAAATTACATATTAATATAAATCAATATCTTCTACAACTAATCTCATAATTCTCAGGCTATAATTTTTTTTGGTTCGGGAACTTGTTGTCAACGTGTAACAATTATTGTGTACAAGCTAACACATCACACATTTAACACAGAATCTTTATTTACTAGTTTACGAGTTCTTACCCTTGAGTGCTGAAATGGACACAAACAAACATGTTCCACATAATGCAACCCACAACTTATCCATCCTTGTGATGAACTAACACAGAGTATAACTGATAAGTTTGACCGGTCATCCGAGGGTTATCTATAAGTTTTTAAACATGGCTTATGTCTGCCGGACACGACCGACTCGTTCGTAGTACACATTGACATTAAGCTGTTTGTGATGACGCTTTAAACTGGTTTTGTGGTGTTGGGGAATACCTGTACTGTAGATTTGACGTCTCCTTTTTGGAAAGAAAAGCTTTATTGGTAAAAATGTATATATAAAAGACTTCACACCTTTATTCTAGTTCTGAAGTCACTAAATTAAACTTTTTTGTTTGATTTGATTTAGCTGTCAACTTTTGTTAGCGCCTATCAAATGTAAACTGTTTGTACCGCTATTACACCGCTTAGAAGTAATAATTTAATGCAACATATTTTACGAATTAAAAGATAGTTGCAGAACAGATTTTTTGGGTTTAAAGAAAAAGGTTTAAGAAAAGAAAAAGCAAGAACATTTTATTTCAACTTTAATATAAGAGAATATCAAAAGATAGAGAATTCTATTTTGGACTCAAATAATTAATTTCTACGTATGCGCGTAAGTTAAAAGCCATATAATGAAAAGGTAACTTTTATTTTTGATGTTATATTGTTTTTACATATATACTCACTAATCACTGTCGATACAATTATGTAAATTTATGTCTCGAAACAATTTCAGGCCCAAAGCGAAAAAGATGATACTTCTTAACAACTGCCAATAAAACGGTTTTTTTGATAGAATCTTCCATTTATTAAAAATATTTTCAATAAATATTCGCCACGGAGCAGGAGATTTTCGTGTCATTGTTTTTCTTTTCTATAAATATACTGATTCTTGTTATATCTTATATGAACTAACTAAGATTAGACCTCGAAGTGTTCTTAAAAATACTAATTACTTATTAAGAGGCGGAAATAAATACATCAGAGCAGTTGAGTTACAATAAAGTCGCTTAAACAAATAAAACAATTACAATTATAAACAAATTTTTCTGAAATCTACTAACATTTATGTTCATATTAAAGTTTTAAATTTCTAATCTGACACTTTTTTAATAGAATAACAAAATGCAAATTATATTATTAACAGTGTGAAGAGATAAGTCCTGGGTTTGATTCAAGTAAAGACGTTACGACTTTATAATTAATTCAAATATGTGCGCCTGCGCCGAAGTCAACCAAACATCTCTCTTTTTAAGACAAAATTAACTAACTCGCAGAGGACTTTCCATGCTTGCAATGGCACGTGATGTTGAAGCTTCTGGTTGTGTTTCTTCTATTTGGATTGTCTCCCTTGTTAAGTTTACTTTGTAATCGCTCATAATTTAACCTATAAGAAATTGTTTTCACTGAATTTAATCTCTTAATTTTAGTTACTAATTATTATCCTACACTTAACGAATGTTTGTATAGATGGAAGATGATGGGAGATTCCTGAGATATCATTTCTATTCAAATTTTATAGAATCGCAGATAAGTTAAGTACTTATTAGTGCTAATTCTGTATGTTAAAATCTCTAACCAAGGTCCGTATAAGCACAAAACAATTCATACAGAATAAATGGTTTGACAGCTTTTTTAACTAGAGACAATCCTGGATTTAAACTAAATTAATACATGAAGAAATGTGTGTAAATACAAACTGAATAATATTTATATTCAATATGACTGAAGTGGTGGATTACAATTTAAGACTTTCGACTAAGACTAATGAATAATACTGCGATAAAACACATACTATATCTACTACACGTTAGGTTCACTATCATACCTTTTGCCGCTAAAATATATAACTATTTAAATAAACACAATTTATTAAAACAATATAAAATACAAAATTCGACACAAAACATGGCCTACGAGATTTATACGCGAGGATATAGCAGGTTAAATAAAATTATAAAATCTTCATTATAACTGTGTGCATTCACGTTTTCATTCTTATCGTACAGAAAGCTGCAGCAAGAAGATACTTATCTCAATAAATCCACAATGGTCCAGTCTTGCGATTCATCACATTGATAAGGAGGAAGCTTGTAGTCTGCCAAATCGTAAAATGACTGCTTCACGGATCACGACTGATTTGAGCGCGACCGCCGTTGTGAAAACCGCTGTGTGAGTTCGAAAAGTGAGTTACAGAATCGCAAGGCAGTACCTAAAATATCAATAACATAACATGATTTGTATAAACGATTGGCGAAACAGTAACGTCAAGTTTATTGCTCGTCCATTTTACGCCCTTGTTTTGAGAACTGGTAATAATTCGAAGCTATTTTGTTTTACGGATATTTTTTTTTTCTTACAATAAAGTTCACAAAAAAGAGTGCGACTTTACATGAATTACAATCTAGCCAATACAATAATTATGGCTAATAAGTAATATTATTTTGACCTAATTTTCTACAACACTAATGAATAGCTTAAACTAAGGTAATGTTCATTACCAGTCTTTCTAGTTCTATAATATTTTGACTCCATGTTCATGTGTCCAAGATACTGCACTTGCACTTATATTCACTACACTAGGTTTATTAACTCAAAAGGTTTAGTTCTCTTTAGGCGTCTTATTCTTATCGCGTCAAGAAGTTGGATTGCTTCAGCATTCACATGGTTATGTAGCCTGTTTAAGTGGGCTAAGGCAAAGGTTTTACGGATATAAATGTACATTGAATACATGAATAAATGAGATTTAACTATGATTTACCACGTCGATGCGCTGGGGGATAACGGAGAGTCTGTCCACCAGTCAGCGAAACACTATAGAATGTGATATACAGAGTCCAGACTTAGCTCTAAATATGTATGTAGTGTAGAAATCATTATTAACAATAACTCAAAGAAGCTTATATTGTTATAGTCTAACAAAAATAAAGATATGGTTTTTGTTGGATATTTTTCATTTATTTAATAGTTTTTACAAATACTTACAAAAGTTCGTTACCATATCAACAAACATATATTAATGTGTATGGTTACGTTTTGAAATAGAGTTTAGTTTACAATATTTCTAATCGACCCTAATTGTATTTTATATTTGACGTTTAAAGACAATTTATTTATTTATTTCGTAATCCTACAGCTAAAATAAATTATATATAATAAAAAACAGTTACACTAAAAATATAGCCAGGGATGGAATACATTTTACAACAAAAAAGTTCAAAAATGTACAAAATCAAACAAACAAAAAAAAATTATTCAATACATTCAACTAAATAATACCTAATTTGTCTATGTTGTGTGATGGTGTAAAAGTGAGGTTAAGTACGTGACGGTGTGTATGTGGGGTATGCTCATGATGCAGGTGATTTGGCGCTATGGATATTCTTAATACTCCTTTTAACCATATTCTGCGATAGCTTAAACAAGTCAAGGCTTAAATATTGGTCGTTGTAGGTCCGGGCTGCGCGATACAAAACTGAGCTTCTTGCATAGTTAGTGTTAATATGAGGAACATGAAACAAAGCACGATTACGAGTTTGGTAGGCAGGAACAAGGAAGGGCAATTTTTCTAGAAGGGAGCTGCAATTGAACTGGTTATAAAGTAGATTCCTAATCCACATCGCGGTCAATGTATAAGTATCACAATAACCATAGGCATCGTTTTATAAATTATTACATATACAGCCTCTTTTCATCATGTATGACAGTTTTTTATACACCTTATATACCGTAATGTAATACTAGTTATTCTAAACATTCGAGTTTTTTTCCTTTATTCTTTAGATTCATAGAGATTTCATACATTTTATTTGATATTTACCCTATCCTTAATACGATTATTATAATACATGCTATGAGCATAGCCACGACTAGCTTAAATTATCCAAAATCCACTCCATGTAATATGATATTCTTGTGTAAACGCCAGGGTAGCCGCCAATACCGCATCTTTTAGATCCATAGGAGACAATACCGTGCTGTACGTATCGGACGCCACCCCTCGAATTTGTCCGGCCAGGGTACATTAGGGGTCCTCCAGAGTCGCCCCCACACGAGTCCTTATCTCGAACCCCACCGGCGCATAATTGACTGTCGTATATGCGAGGAGAACTGGAAAATAAAGATGTTATGTTATGTGTGCTGAGAAGTACGTTTAGAGCGTGCTCGAAAGTGGGTTGCCTTTTGAGAATTGATCTACTCTTTTCTTGAAAGACCCTAAGTCTTATAGAAATACTTCAGTAGGTAGCGGTAGTGGTAATGCCCGGCAAAAATTCTCAGTTGCGGAACGACGGACGTCAAAATGATACGGGTGGAATTTTGTATTCAGCCTCGATATCCGATGATGAAACGGACGGGAATCAGTTACTTAGCCAAGGAATAGCAACGACCTGTAGCTTTAACACTTACCCGTTATAAATATTCTGGCATTCTCTATTACTAATAATTGGTAGGGCGACACTGAGCAGAACAGGACTCTGTAGGCCGTCTTCGGTTGCCCCCCCATCCAGCAACAATTCCTTGTAAACCTTCTAAAGTCTGATTTATAAGCTCTGGTGTTGTTGGTAAGCATACAGCTTTCATACTATCTGAAAAAAAATAAAATAAGTCTCGCTGTAATTTTTGATAACGTAGTCATTTATAGCTGGGTGAGTTACGTTTATTCGTCCTGGATTTTCTTGAAGAAAGTTGTTTTGGTTTGTAAGCCACTGATGTACTAGCCGGTCTCTCATTTCTTTTCAACAAATATAATAACAGCCGAGTAAACAATAACTAATCTTATTTCAACATCATTACATAAATCAAAATGATTAGTGAATCAGGCATGTAACTGTGTCTGCCATAGTTACATCCACACATGTGTCTAATTACTCACATTTATACAATATCCTTCGAGAGGTAATATTTGTAATATATGTATGATTTTCCATATTATAAATATTTTTCTACCTTCCTTCTATTCAAATGTATGTTTTACAATCAAAGATACATACATAGATACAGAGATAGTCCATGCCATTAAACTTAATAACTTGTTGATAAATACATAATACTCCATTTAACATGTGTATACCACATTTTATCAGTTAGTTTATTTGTGCTTTAGTAACCTAAAAGACTGAATATTATGAAGTACCATGTCGTGGTCCCATGATGGATTTGGAATGCTGTTGAACGATCATGATCTAACGGAACGCGACGTCATTTCGTATTTTGTTTTATTTCACGGTTAGGTACATGGTTGTTTCTGGGACTGACACAAAATAACAGATTAAAAAATATTTAAATTTACCCAAAGAAAAATCGGCAGGTTCCGACAACCTCACTAACGCAATATCATCGAACAGAGTTTGTGGATTGTATCCTGGATGAGTTATCACACGATCGATTGTTACATTCTGTAAATCAATAAACGTATTATGAAAAATGCCTTAAATATATCTCAACAGGACACGCAGATGTTATCCATAGTGTAACAATAATACTGTTGAACTTAATTAAAATTGTTCAGTCGTATTCATGAAATTAAAAATTAATATTTCTGAAGATTTATAAGAAAGGTATGATAGCTAATTATTTTATGAAGGTTTAAAGCACCAAGTCGATAAAATGCGACGACAACAGGATCTTCATTAAAGTCATTAAATACAATGCAAGACAGCAGAAATTACATAGAGTAGTTTCATGAGAAAACTGTTATATTCTATTACATACTCGAGCAGGTGGTGCGCACATTAACTCTCCATCAACCCTCTCACAGTCCGGATTCTGCCTGACGTCATGTTCTCCAAGAATGACACCTTCCAGCTGCAATTTGTTACCAAGAAAGGACACGCAATGCGCAGCGGTTAGGATGTACCATTCTGTTATCAAGGTACCTCCACAGCTTAATTTAATTCCTCGGCCTGTAATTAATAAGCGTATGATCAATTAACTTTTAAACAATAAAGATTTAAAATATTAAAGTTTATTTTTATATTAATAATTATTTGTTTAAAAGGTCATTAAGTACTTCGTCGGATTAATATGTACAAATTTTAAGTATGCATCAGGACCCAGGCGAATCCTTTGTTTCTTTAGGACCTCCGGACGAGACTAGAATAACAACATACAACTAGCGGAGGCTATTTTAATTAGTTAAACCATTTTGTGATATGTTTGTTGTGAGATTTAGCATTTATAACAAGTAATATTTTTGACAGCGTTATACAATTTTGTAGGCAGTTTTCAATGTGTTTGATGTCTCATAAGTAGTTGGATTTTCCTTGTTATTTCACACAGTATTTCCTTATGAATGTAAAACAGCTTCCTACCGTGAATTGTAGAATATTGAGGTGGACTTTTAAATACTTTAAACAAATTGTAATCATTTATCACAACTTAACTCTGGTTAAAAATATATTTATATTGCTAATCCTATATAAGAAATTGATACCATTGCAGTTCATATAAGCACCATGCTCTGTTGAATATTTTGATGTGAATTAGATATTAAAAATGTTTTGGTATAAATCCACTGTCACCTGTTTGGTATGAAAGTAAAACCATCCAGGGCATTTCAAACAAGGAAGTTCTATTTCCTCCGAAAATCCGATCGCCTTCAATAGTTCCACAGTCTTTTGGTAATAGTTGCAAGTTGGGGTGATTTCTCACATCAAGGGGCTGGTCAATTCCATTCGTTTCTCCTCGGTTATTCACTTGAATATTTGGTTGTGTGTAGGGTTTAGGTGGTTCTGTGGGAGCCCAATAATCTGGTTGTTTCCGGGTATCATCCGTGTAGTCAAATGTGTTGGACTCCTTTACGCAGCATACCTGGAATTACTTATTTATGGGTATTGATTTATTTCTCCCTAGAATAATGTGTGCAAAAGTAAGTACCGTCCTTCAAGAACCAATAATGGTTGGCTCTTATTGATTTAGCACCTAAACTAATAACGATATGGATGTTCAAAAAGGGCATCGCGATCAACCCGATCGCAATCTCAAGTTGTTAACTAAACACTTCTAACTTAGGTCCCGATCATTTTTTAGTTAGGAAAGTCGGAACAGCATTTTGAAGTCCACGGCAGGACCCTTCAACCGTTTTCTCCAGATTGACAGCCGAACATACTGACAAACCAATTACTTAATAAACTACAAAAATAAAATATAGGTACATTACAAGTGGCTCGTCCTGTTGAAATCCACATCCGAGGTCTTGCAGTTTCCTCCTCATGTATGGTGGCATGGGAGTACCAGCCCGTCTGACTTCGTTCACTAGACTTGGACATAGTGATAATAATTTACAGCTACCAGCACAGTTATTGGCGTAACAGATATCTCCGTTGTACACTAAAATTATTTTTATCCGATTAAACGATTAGTTTTAAAAAAAGCCACTGGTGCTCTGTGGCAGAGACTTGCCAGAGAAAAGAATCACTGGAAGCAGCTGGAGGAGGCCTCTGTGCTACAAAAGCAAGCTGTACAAGAGGACAGCTGTGCTGCAAAACCTTCTTAAGGAACTTTTTATATAGGTAGGTACATATGTATGTTCTCTTGTATTAGTTGAAAAGCTTTGAAATTAAAATTGAAATGTGAATCTAAAACTAGTTTAATTATTTATATAACTCTTTATAAAGTTTGTTAAGTCTGAAATGCTCAACATATCTCATGGAATACGTAGAATATTGTGAAATATTGTAAATTGTCACTATAACCAGACTAAATAATATCAAAGAATGAAATGAAATTATGTGTTTAACCTTACAAAAGTATTAAATAATCTGAAGTTTGAACTCCATAATTTCTCAATTTCTCTGTGTGACTGATCATTTTAAAAAGTTCCGTCAGAAATCGAAACTAGGAAGGAAACTATATAAGTTATAGCTATATGTTTTTCATATAACTGTAGCATTGCCACGTAATAATAACTTTGGTATTACCTAGTAATTTAGTTACATATTTACTTATACCGGTTCATTGTTATCGAATACGCCCACATCATTAAACCAGATAGACAACGTTTTTAAAGTTTAATTAGTTGCTTTATACGGGCGACTATATAACAAAGATAAACAAAAGAATGTCTAAATTGTCAGCAGATACTATTCAATTACTAAACATCACCGCATCCATACCATCGAATCGAAAATCATATATCTATCCTACTATTCGTAATGGCTACGAGCGGTAGATTTTTTCGTTTCTATATATATTTCATAAGTAAGGATATTGAGTAACAAGAAAAACGCATATGGCGGATAATTACAGTTTTAAAGATAAGAATTTGTTTACATTTGACTACTCCCAGAAATAGTACATAAGAATTAAGAGTGACTTCCCCTTAATAGAGTGTTATTGGACACTTTCTTATGTTAAACATCAAAATTAGATTAGTTTAAAATTACATCCTAGTCTTATGTTAGGTTAAATGATGTATTTGTGCCAGAGACAAGTAATAAAAAAAACTACACCCCGAACGTGGGAGTAGACAATATATTTTTCACAATAATTAAATTGCACAACAATTTTGTACTTACAATATGAGGGTGATATTAACACACACAATACAAATAACGCTATCATTTTGCACATTCATCACTAGCACTAAAAGTTTATTAATAACATGCGTTCGAACGAGCACCCATTTCGATTGCTTTTCTCGAAATGTGTACGCGATGCGCCGATGACAAAGATACCAGTTATATGGGAAAACACATATGACGTATTGATTACATGATGGTGAATGACCGGTATATTCAATTGATTTATTTATTTATTTACACTTGGTTACCTTTAATATAAAAAAAAACAGGTTATTAGACAACGGGCGGCTTAATCGCTAACAAGCGATTTATTCAACCATAGTATAGAAAAATAAAATAGGAAATACCCACCGAGGGTAAAGTACCAGTGCATAAATATTTAACAAATAAACATAAAATTACATGTAACACTAGTAATACACTAAATAACACTAAACTAAAATTCTATACTTTAGTTTAGTACTTAATAACTATAATAAAGTAAAAGATAAATTTAGAGTTAATGAGTCATAATTAATATATATAGTTTAGCTGCGTATAATTTAAGGAATAATAAAGGTGAATCTTACAAAAAAGGAATTTAAACGGCAAATAGGTCAAAAGAGAAATATCTGATCATGTTATCAGCAGCTGGCCGGCTTAGATTGGAACTCTCAACCCCGTGCGTTCAAATCCCGGCTCTGCTAATGGGTTCTTTGATGATTTTGGCGAAAGCAGAGATCGTGAGGAAACTAGCATGCCTTAGACCATGAAATCCACACGAGGCACAGTATAACCTTCTTGTCGTGTCAAAACTATGACACACAGATGCAATCTAGGAAGAAAGAAAGAAAAAACTTGACTATAAACAATAACAGGATATTTAGGTAAAATAAAGTGCACTAGCCCCTACACTATCTCTGTGTTGTGGGTAGCCAGTCTCTTCCTTTTGACAAGTAAACTGTATTGTACCTTATGATTTCTACAATTAAACTAAATTAAAATTAAACTATTTTTGCACAATAAGAGTATTTTCTGTATCAGCATAGGACAGGTTGACAAGATATTGTTTGAGATTCTTAGTTAATGTATGTAATGTTAGTGATTATTTTGTTTTTAAGGAAATTGTTAAAGATGAAAGGACCTCGTAAGGCGATAAAGCGTTGGGGGAAGAAAGTGCGTTTTTGGGTTGCTTATACTCGTATATAGGTTCGCGTTGTGTTTAATGTGGTGTGGCGGGTGTTTGTTTCCAAAAAAGTTGCTATTAAGTATAATTGTGTAACACTTTAAAGTTTTGTTTCATTGTACAATTATGACGTTGAGTAGCGAAAATCAGAGACCAAAACCCATATGGGATGAAACTTTACTGAATTATTATAAATCAAGTAAGTTCAAAAGTGACAATAGATATCATTTAAGCTTTTGGTTGCTCAAAGTACATAGGCGTAGATTCCTCCATGACAATTTTGCAAGGAAAGTGCCGAAATCAATTTCGTTTACATTTTTTATATAAGAGGGGGAGAACGGCCTACCCGTTCCACCTTTTAAGTGATACCTCCCTCCACCCATTGACACTCTCATTATCAGTGCGTTGCTTGCCTTTTAATAATTGTTACTCTCTTTTTTTGAAGGACCCTAAGTCGAATTGCTTCGGAAATACTTCAGTGGGCAGCTGGTTCCACATATTTATTTATTTACACCTCGTCACATATTGGTGATGCGCTGGAAAAATGCCTTAAAAAACGCTTAGTTGTGGAACGACGGACGTCATGGTGATACGGGTGGAATTTCGTATTCTTCCTCGACTTCCGATGATTCGTTGTAATACAAAATAAAGCCCACAAGCTTATAGAGACAATGAATCAGACGGTAAATTCGTCTCTTCTGTCACGTTTAGAATTCTGATAAAAACAGAACGACCGCAAACGTATCGGTATATTTCTAAGGAGAAACCTATTTGCCTTTGTTTAAATATGAGTCATGAATTACAACATCAAAAGATGCGATAATGTTTATATACCACGTTGAATACGTATAGGCGTTCTATCACTGTACAAAAGAAACTACTGCTTACAACGCAAAGCCTAGACCCGACAATGGCTGATCTAAGATTCGTAGGGGTCACACAGTCAGTTTATTTTTATGAATAAGACCGTATAGGTACATAATTTTGTGTGTTTATAATGTATTTGTTAGAAATCCGATTTGGGTATTTTTATGTGGCTCACGCGTCCTGTCATTTTGTAAGTTAAAAACTAAACTCTTTATTCAACTTAAGACTAATTAACCTCTATCAATAATTTAGGTATCATTTTAAGTTAAACGTATGCGCATGAAACTGTATTAGGTACATACTTGTTTATTCAAAATATTTCACAAAAATATTTTAAAAACGAAAAAATCTAATAAAATATCACTTGTGATTTATTTATTTATTTATTAAGGAAACTAAACAGATACATCTCTATACAGTAAAAATAAAATAAAAGTAAAACATAAAATAAACACATTGGACATATCCACAAAAAGTTTCACTGATAAAAAAACAATACAAAGTAAAACAAGACAAACCGTGATACAAATATAGATACACAAAAGTAATTATCGTATTGGAAAAGTCTGATAGGATAATGAATGTATTTCTGTAAATAAATATTGTCGAAGTAGTTATATAACCTCGTGTGTCACCACCATAATTATATTTTATATAAACAAAACCATTGCAACATAGTAGTACAAAGATCCTTTATATTTCAATAGCCGAAATGCTGTTACATGATTTACGAACCACACTTACATGATTTACGAACCACTCTTAGTTCTTACTAAGTAACGTTTCCTTGTAGAGCGTGAGAACAATGTGTCAGCACAACGGTCACGTAGGCCTTTAAGAATAGGATATAAATATAATAGAATACTTGTAATATTTAGTATTAAACGGACCTCAAATCGGACCGGTTGTATTCATTTTAACTTTAAGTTTTTAAAAAACCCTTATTTCGCGGACCCACTACTTGACTGGCGCTGAGGACAGGATAGTCGCTCTAGCTGCACGTACTTCTCAATTATCGGTTCGAGCATCAAATTCTGCTTACCTAAAAAGGGGAAACTACGTCGCGATTGCTAAAAACGGCTATTCAAAAGAACAAATAAATTTGTCAAGAACAAAAATCCAAAAGCGTTAAGGGTGTTTTGTGCGAGTGTTGAGGCAGCGATGTACTGGTAAGTCACCTTTTCACCTTTCAAATCCAGCCCTCTCCACTTTTCTTTTGTTATTTTGAGATCGACATCTCTCATCTTAACGATAGTTTTAAGACTTTGTTAGAGTTAAATTGATATAAACGTAAATTGTAATAAGTTAATTTAAAGAAACATAGAAGTAAGTAGGTTAGTGCATGAAATTCTGCAACCCCTAAAGTAAGTATAAGTTTAGATTCACATCAAATTCTGTGAGCTAAAATTATTGAGTAATTGTGTAATTATTTAATCAAATAATTCCTGAAAGAATACATAAAACCCAAAAAGATATATTTTATATATTTCGGAAATACGGAACATCGCAAACAATTCAGCAACATGGTAATTAGGCTTTTTAAAGGTGGATCAATTCAATTTTATGAGTGTACGGAAAGAATAGTTTTTATTGACGATGAAAATGAACAGAAAGCCGTTATTCTGAAATTTCATCTCGGAAAAACCTGTCACAGAGGTATTCAAGAAACTTTTACTCGCATCAGGCGACACTTCTTTTGGAATAACATGAAAGAAACTATATCAGCAGTAATTAATTCTTGTGAAGTCTGTAAACATATGAAATATGACCGAAAGCCTTTGAAACCATATTTACAGTTAACTCAAAAGCAACATGCCCCATTCCAGGAATTATTTATAGATATATTTAGTATCGAAGGAAAAACATACCTCACCTTAGTTTACGCTTTTAGCAAACTAAGACAGGCAATTGAAATTACTATCAAAGGCACACCTGACGTTATCCGCGCACTAATAAAATACTTTTCATTTTACGGCATACCTAAGAAAATAAGCTGCGACTCTGGTACTGAATTCAACAACGATCTATTGAAAGAAATGATGTCACTCTATAAAATCCAAATACATATCGACACACCTAGGAACCCTAATTCAATGGGAATAGTTAAACGTTTTCATTCCACCTTAATTGAAATTTACAGACTGACAAAATACGAACAACAATGTACCGACGCCGCATCTATTATATCACTCATCATGGCATATAATAATGCGATTTATACTGTAACAACTTTAACACCGTTTGAAGTAGTGTTTGGCCATGTAGATTCTGAAAACGCATTCAATATAGACTTCGAGAAACGATACTTGCAAAAATTAATTAAAGATCACGCCAAAAGAATAAAAGTTTTATACAAAATCATATCTGATAAAATGTTAACGTTTAAGGAAAACTCTAGAGAAAAACGCGGTGGCGAATCCGACGTCCCGTTACCAGAAGGGAAAACAATTTTCACAAAATTAATAAACACTCGTAGAAGTAAGTACAAACCTTGTTTTGAAAAGGCCATAGTTACAGGAAAACCTGAAAGAAACACCATCCCTATTAAAATTAGATGTAAACACAAAAAGGTACCAATTAAAAACATAAAACGACCTCCAAAGGTGGTGCTTAGTGATCACGATGACACTCACGAGCCCCAGCTTGGGCCTTCAACTTCAAAAGGTTGAAAGCAATTCAGGGATCCGTAAGACAGGGAACATCCTTCATCAAACAGGATAACTGGCTTATTTTTAAGGTATTAGATTTGAATGGCCTACTAATGGAATTAGAATATAACAATAGGAAATATAGTAATTTTAGTAAGATAGTAAGTGATGATAAGCCTTAGTTTAAAGAATTTTTAGGAATTAGGGAACAAGTAGAGTATTTGCAAAGAATAACTACTGAAAAGATTAGGCGAATAATCCCTTCACACCGAGTACGAAGAGGAATATTGAACCCTCTAGGCTCTATTATTAAAATGATAACTGGAAACTTAGATCAGGAAGATGCTCAACGATATGAACAGTTAATAA